GGGCCTGAGTGGAATTGCCTCAATGGAGCACCAAGTTCCCGATTCTGTCAGTGAGAAACATGGTGGCCACAGCAGAGACAGGATGTGGAGGCTGCGCTTTCGTCTCTGAAAGCCTGTTTGCAGAGGAAGGCTCTGGGCTGGCTCTCACCGCGGTTCTTTAAAAGGAGCTTTTGTGTTCTCAAGGGGGTTTCATGAGGGAGGTGGGAGCTGTGGGTCTCCCAAAGACAGATAAGGAGAGTGCCCTAGATAAGGTGGGCTTGGGGAGCTTAAAGGAGAGTCTTTCCCACAGCCCTGCAACAAAGGAAGAGGGTGCGCCGTTGACAGTGGCACTGGGCTCCTGCTCTCCTGTTTTGTGCTCCTCCTACCTGGAAGGAACAGGAAGCTGGGAAAGCATGTGTGTCAGGCACCTATGTTCAGGCAGTTCTGCCTGGCTGTTTTGTTTTGTTTTGATCTTTTTGAGACAGGGTCTCCCTGTAGCCCCCAGCTGTCCTAGAACTCACCATGTAGACCAGGCTGGCCTTGGACTCACAGAAATCTGCCTGCCTCTGCCTCCCGAGGCTGGGATTAAAGGCATGTGCCACCACGCCCGGCCTCTGGCTGTTTTTTGTATCCAAAGCACTTCTTAAGTTTGAGAAAGAAGGCCTGCTACAGAAAGGCAGATGGCATGACTTGTGTAAGGGTGTGTTGCAGACTAGGTCTTGCATTAGTTTACTATTGCTGCTGTAACAAATGCTGTGACTTGAAATAACACAAAGCCTTGCCGAGTTAGAGGCTCTGGGCATCTTTCTCACTATACTTTCTCCTTGTTTTCTGCCATCCGTCTTCTGGATTTAAGGGCCTTGGTAATTGCCTGAGCCTGGGAATAATCTAAACTAATCTTCCTATGCTAAAATCAGCTGATTAGCAAACAATTTTATTTGCTACTAAATTCCCCTATGCCATATAACACAACATTCAGATTCTAGGGACCAGCAAACGGACAGCTTTGGATAACATTCTGAGAACCTGTAGAACTCAGGCTATCTCCTCCCCAAAATTTAGTGATGGGACAGGTATAGGCTAACAGCGTAGACATTCCCATTCCAAAGGGGAGAGGCTAAGGGTGGCTGAGGGATACAGCACTTTCTAGAATCCATGAAGCCGTTGGTTCACTCCCTGGCACAGAGCTTGAGGGTGGGGAGCCGCAGTACACCAATGTGGTGCCTGGCTTGCCTTCTTGCCAACCAAGGTCAGCCCACTGTTTGCTGCCCTCAGGCTCTTGTACCAGCCAGCAATGTTTTGACATTTTTGCAGCCCTTGTACCTTTAGGCCTCAAGGGGCCCCAGGATGCAACTAGGAAGATTCTAGAGTCCAGAGTCCAGATTTTCACTTCAGATCTGAAGAACAAAGTCCAGAGGGACAAAAGTTCTTGCTGGAATGTGGGGTCAGAGGTCAGGCGGGAAGGCCCTCTGGGCAGGGAAGAACTGGTATTTCAGAATCCAAGTCTACTAAGATGAGTTCTCACTAAAAGTGCTGAACTATCCTCAAGAAAACCCCATTTCAGGGCTCCATTGAAAGCTGGAGCTGCACCTTTGAGTACCTAGCACTGCTATGATGTGGCTGGAGGATACGTGGATGTTGGGACTTGGGCCTAGACCTCAGCCTCTGCTCTGCCACTTACTGACTGCTGCCTGTGAGAGGTGCCTTTTGAGAACAGTTTTATTACATTTTATTTATTTATTGTACATATGTGTGTGGGTGCTCATGACACAGCATGTGTGTGGCGGTCAAAGGACAGCTTTAGGAAGTTGGTTCTCCTCTTTCCCCATATGGGACCCAGGCATTGAACTCAGGCTGTCAGGCTTGGTGGAAAGGGCCTTGCTCACAAAGGCTAGCTTACAACAAATTTCTTTACCTCTCTGGGCCCAGGATTGTTACTTAATAAAGAGGAGGTTTGGAAGACCCACATACACACTTTTTGCTCATGCCAGTTTCCCAGCTTTGGCCCTGATTCTCGGTGTGGTCTCTATTCCAACACATCTGCGTCTCTGGGAAACGGTAGAAAGAAGCAGAGAAGTAGAAGCTCCTCCCCAACACTGACCTACAGAATAGGACTCCCTACAGAAAATATTCCCGGGGAATCATCTGTACAATGGTGTACCTTTGTCTCATAAAACTGCTTTTGCTCAGGTATGCACTGACCACATCCCTACAAGGCTCACTTAGTGCATGAACAGGCAGATATCAGTAACCTCAAAGTTTTATGAACCAGAATTATTTGAGAAATGCTCTGCATGAAGACTGTGGGATTTTTCTGGGTCAAAGGCATGTCTTATCCTGCCTGCATGCCTGTCTTCCTGCCCAGAACTACATAGCCCTGGTAATGGAACTGATTTAACAGCATTCAGGTCAAAAAGTCATATGACCACGAGAAACCAGCAATTAAAGAGGCTACAGACACAGAGAAGGGCAAAACTTTGTCCTTTTCTTTAAGAATTAGTGAAGACCTTTCTGTTTTTCTGAAGTAGGGATAAGAAACTTTGCCAGGCCCATCCTGTTTACATGTGATTTCTTCCACTTCAAAATAATTCATATATTCATTAGCTTATTCCAAAGTATTTCCTACAGTGTGCTCATGTGCAAATGACTGATCAAGGTACTTCACATGATTGACTCTATTTAAATCCCCCAAGACAACTGCTGAAGTTGATCTGATTCACTTTAGTGAGTGGGGAAACTGAGGCTCAGCTAAGTATTTTGTCTTGTGGGTCTGGAGAGATGACTCAGCAGTTAGGTGCCACATGGCACCTAACAGCCATCCTTAACTCCAGTTCCAGGTGATCCAATACTCTCTTCTGACCTCCATGGGCACTGCACAGCACAGGTGCACTTACATACATGCAGGCAAATACTCATACATAAAACAAGAATAAACACCCCAAAAATTTGTGTTTTCTTTATTTGGGCATAACTTTAATATTGCTTAGAAAAGCTGCTCTGTGGTGTCCTGTGTGAGAAAGGGCCCAAAATTTTTTTAAAAAGAAGACTTGTCTCAGTTGACAGCTCTAACATGAAAATGGACCTGGGGTTAAGACTCAATCTATTTCAGTTATCCATTGATTAATATTTACTAATTACTTCCTGCTCCCTGGCACTGGTAAATGCATGGGTGTGAGGCAGCAGCAGTAAAGGCTCATTGAGGGAAAACTAGTTCCTTCTGGTCAAGAGGATGGAATCTCTGGCCTAGGTGGAGACCTAACGTTCCAAGCTACCACAAACACAGAGTTGATCCAGTCAGGCCTGTCAATCACCTGACAGAGGCACTACTCCTAGGAAGGTGGTTCATCTTAAGCCATGCTAAAGAGA